ACCAGGACATGTCCTTCAATGCACATATTAAACAAATATGTAAGACTGCGTTCTTCCATTTGCGCAACATCTCTAAAATTAGAAATATCCTGTCTCAGAGTGACGCTGAAAAACTAGTTCATGCATTTATTACTTCCAGGCTGGACTACTGTAATTCATTATTATCAATATGTCCACAAAACTCACTGAAAAGCCTTCAGCTAATCCAAAATGCTGCAGCAAGAGTACTGACAGGGACTAGAAAGAGAGAGCATATTTCTCCTGTTTTGGCTTCCCTTCATTGGCTTCCTGTTAAATCCAGAATTTAATTCAAAATCCTGCTCCTCACATAGAAGGTCTTAATTAATCAGGCCCCATCTTATCTTAATGACCTTGTAGTACCATATCACCCTATTAGAGCACTTCGCTCTCGCTCTGCAGGCCTACTTGTTGTTCATAGAGTATTTAAAGGTAGAATGGGAGGGAGAGCCTTCAGTTTTCAGGCCCCTCTTCTGTGGAACCAGCTTCCAGTTTGGATTCAGGAGACAGACACTATCTCTACTTTTAAGATTAGGCTTAAAACTTTCCTTTTTGCTAAAACATATAGTTAGGGCTGGACCAGGTGACCCTGAATCCTCCCTTAGTTATGCTGCAATAGACATAGGCTGCCAGGGGATTCCCATGATGCATTGAGTTTTTCCTTTCCAGTCACCTTTCTCACTCACTATGTGTTAACAGACCTCTCTGCATTGAATCATATCTGTTATTAACCTCTGTCTCTCTTCCACAGCATGTCTTTTATCCTGTCTTCCTTCTCTCACCCCAACCGGTCGCAGCAGATGGCCCCGCCCCTCCCTGAGCCTGGTTCTGCCGGAGGTTTCTTCCTGTTAAAGTTTTTCCTTCCCGCTGTTACCAAAGTGCTTGCTCATAGGGTGTCATATGATTGTTGGGGTTTTTTTTTCTTTATGTATTATTGTTTGGTCTAGGTTGCAATATAAAGTGCTTTGAGACGATGCTGTTGTGATTTGCCATGGTATAAATAAAATTGAATTGAACTGAATTGTTAAAACAGAACTGAACAGAAATGAAGTTGATGACTGGAAATATTTTTTACAATACTGTGTGTTTGGACAATAATTTCTTCCTGTTAAAAGGGAGTTTTTCCTTCCCACTGTCGCCAAAGTGCTTGCTCATAGGGGGTCATATGATTGTTGGGTTTTTCTCTGTATCTATGAAGCGCCTTGAGGCGACTTATGTTGTGATTTGGCGCTATATGAATAAAATTGAATTCAATTGAATCCATCCTTGGATGAAAAATGCCTGATACAGATACGTATTTAACAGAACCACAGAGAAAGACTGCTACATCTGCTCGCACATGCCGAGCACATCAGTACACCCAACCATATATGGGAAACACACTGGAACATGTGCACCAATTCTGAACCCTGATCACACCTACAGAGTGACTTGTGTAAACTGCACATCAACATCCTCATCCAGGAAGAAACGCTCAACTTCAACAGTCAGACCACATGACTCAATCTGGGGAACCAATGTACCTGAAGAATTCAACTCTGGACAACTGGACAAAAGGTACTCAACTCACTCTTCCCATGGGCAGGAGTTGGAAAACATGCTCTCGGAATTGAGACACTGGACTATAGATTCAGCTTGTTCCTCAATGCATCCTGAAAGGTCAACGAGGGACAAAACCAAGAAATAGACGCTCTCAGAATTGCTGTAATGCAACATCGTGTAGCATGAACATTAACCTGAGAAAGGAGGATTGTGCGTCTTATTCAACACCACATGCTGCACTTACATGCCAGATAATGTACATTCTTCAAAAATGGCTTCAGATTCTAAAGAGACTGTTGATCGGCATTGGAGTTTCCCTGGTTTTATTTTGCTTTTCTATACTTGTGTTATTCCTTGTTTAAAAGCTGTAATTTCACAGATGATAAGTTTATCACTCACAGCATATGCAGATGTACCACAAAGCGATGAAGATTATGAAGAGTTCTTTTTCTATTTGGTAGATGAAGATGAAGTGCAACTAATGATGTAGTAACTGAAAATGTGAAAGACAAGTAGTTACTTACTGATAATATGTACATTTCATTTTCTGATCTTCAGGAGGGAATGTTAGGAGAAAATTGTACATAGTGTGATCAGCTTCATGAAATGTGTTCTTTTATTGATCATTAAGCAAATGTCTACGTGACTTTTGTACGGTGGCCCTGAAGTGCAAATCACACCAACAAATTGCTAAACACAACAACAAAATCGAGAAACAAAAAAACAAATGGAGAATCACAAAAACAAAACTGAGAAGCACAAAAACAAAACTGAGAATCACAAAAACAAAATTGAGAAGCACAAAAACAAAATTGAGAAGCACAAAAACAAAATTGAGAAGCACAAAAACAAAACTGATTTGCACTTCAGGGCCTCTCAATTTTGTTGTTGTGTTTAGCAATTTGTTGGTGTGATTTGCACTTCAGGGCCACCGTACTTTTGACATGAACTCTTGTGTGATAAACAACTAACAGCTTCCTCTTTCTGTAAGAACATGCAGACTTAGAAAAGGGGAACCTCAGCTCTGAGTTCTTAGAATAACTCTGTTATCTTTGTACACACACACACACACACACACACACACACACACAGATACAAGCTTGTATAAATAAAGAACGCTGACAGTGATACAGCGCGAGTCCGTGAGTGCCTCCTGCGAGGAAGAGCGCTCTATGACCGTCCTCGCGAGTAAAAGACAACTGCAGTGTTGCGCCAGAGGGAGTGTTCGCCCAGGGTGCCAAACAGGCTAGGACCGCCACTGGCTGGGGGACTCCCATGATTTTCCTTTTCAGTCACCGTTTTCACTCACTCTGTGTTAATAGACCTCTCTGCATTGAATCATACTTGTTATGAATCTCTGTATCTCTTCCACAGCATGTCTTTATCCTGTCTTCCTTCTCTCACCCCAAGTGGTTCTTGGTGTCCGGGGCCTTTAAGGCGTGCAGACCCTGAATTGGGATACAGGGAGTGCAGAATTATTAGGCAAGTTGTATTTTTGAGGAATAATTTTATTATTGAACAACAACCATGTTCCCAATGAACCCAAAAAACTCATTATTATCAAAGCTGAATCTTTTTGGAAGTAGTTTTTAGTTAGTTTTTAGTTTTAGCTATTTTAGGGGGATATCTGTGTGTGCAGGTGACTATTACTGTGCATAATTATTAGGCAACTTAACAAAAAACAAATATATACCCATTTCAATTATTTATTTTTACCAGTGAAACCAATATAACATCTCCACATTCACAAATATACATTTCTGACATTCAAAAACAAAACAAAAACAAATCAGCGACCAATATAGCCACCTTTCTTTGCAAGGACACTCAAAAGCCTGCCATCCATGGATTCTGTCAGTGTTTTGATCTGTTCACCATCAACATTGCGTGCAGCAGCAACCACAGCCTCCCAGACACTGTTCAGAGAGGTGTACCGTTTCCCCTCCTTGTAAATCTCACATTTGATGATGGACCACAGGTTCTCAATGGGGTTCAGATCAGGTGAACGAGGAGGCCATGTCATTAGTTTTTCTTCTTTGATACCCTTTCTTGCCAGCCACGCTGTGGAGTACTTGGACGCGTGTGATGGAGCATTGTCCTGCATGAAAATCATGTTTTTCTTGAAGGATGCAGCCTTCTTCCTGTACCACTGCTTGAAGAAGGTGTCTTCCAGAAACTGGCAGTAGGACTGGGAGTTGAGCTTGACTCCATCCTCAACCCGAAAAGGCCCCACAAGCTCATCTTTGATGATACCAGCCCAAACCAGTACTCCACCTCCACCTTGCTGGCGTCTGAGTCGGACTGGAGCTCTCTGCCCTTTACCAATCCAGCCACGGGCCCATCCATCTGGCCCATCAAGACTCACTCTCATTTCATCAGTCCATAAAACCTTAGAAAAACCAGTCTTGAGATGTTTCTTGGCCCAGTCTTGACGTTTCAGCTTGTGTGTCTTGTTCAGTGGTGGTCGTCTTTCAGCCTTTCTTACCTTGGCCATGTCTCTGAGTATTGCACACCTTGTGCTTTTGGGCACTCCAGTGATGTTGCAGCTCTGAAATATGGCCAAACTGGTGGCAAGTGGCATCTTGGCAGCTGCACGCTTGACTTTTCTCAGTTCATGGGCAGTTATTTTGCGCCTTGGTTTTTCCACACGCTTCTTGCGACCCTGTTGACTATTTTGAATGAAACACTTGATTGTTCGATGATCACGCTTCAGAAGCTTTGCAGTTTTGAGACTGCTGCATCCCTCTGCAAGATATCTCACTATTTTTGACTTTTCTGAGCCTGTCAAGTCCTTCTTTTGACCCATTTTGCCAAAGGAAAGGAAGTTGCCTAATAATTATGCACACCTGATATAGGGTGTTGATGTCATTAGACCACACCCCTTCTCATTACAGAGATGCACATCACCTAATATGCTTAATTGGTAGTAGGCTTTCGAGCCTATACAGCTTGGAGTAAGACAACATGCATGAAGAGGATGATGTGGACAAAATACTCATTTGCCTAATAATTCTGCACTCCCTGTACAGCCTCTATGTCTTTGGACTGTGGGTGAGAACCCATGCAAACTCCACACAGAAAGACCCTGGTGGTGGTATTGAACTCAGGACCTTCTTGCTGTGAGGCAACAGTGCTAATCACCATTTATTACTGCCAGTAATGTACTTATTTATACTTTACTTTGTATTTTCTAATGTAATTTAGTTTGACAAATTTATCAAAAGATTTCCATTATGCTCAGTTTTCTACACTGAAGTATTAAATTTGTGTATTTAATTTAATTTAATTTAATTTAATTTAATTTAATTTAATTTAATAGCGCTTTTAGAGCTTCGCTTATAGCGTCGGGCTTCCATACATCACGTGCTTCGCAATGTTTTTCGATCATCTGATTGGCTGCTGCAGTCTCGGCAGTGCTTTTAATCTGTGGAATAGGGAAGTGAAAGTTAGCTGCAGTTCATTATTGATGTGTGTAATCATTACACTGACACCTCATTAGTTACATTAACTCGTGAACAGCTGGTGCTACTTTACTCTTTCTTGGTTAGCTAAACGCGGCTGTACCGACTTCCTGTTTGATTTCAACGGAAAAAAAACTGTCCCATTGAGGTGATAAATAAGAAGATGACTGAAGGTAATGGCAAGGTGGTTTACTGGATCATTGCCTCGACTTTCATAGTAAATTTAGCTCAAACTTTAGCGGCTCGGCAGCCTCACGTCGTGTTTATCCTGGCCGATGACTTCGGCTGGTACGATATCGGCTACCACGGCTCCGAGATCAGGACGCCAAACCTGGACAAGCTGTCGTCCAGAGGAGTCCGCCTGGAGAACTACTATGTGCAGCCTCTGTGCACCCCCTCCAGGAACCAGCTCATGACCGGGAGGTATCAGGTGAGAACACAGACTGGATATAAAGATAGGTTAAATACAGTCGATATTTCTTAATGACCAATAAGCCAAACAGTCCTGATCTGAACTTAATTCTTAATTTTTCTGACACAAATTACCGGTGTAAACGATCAATCATTTTAAGAGGTGTTAAGTGAATATGCTAAATAAATCAGTGAAATGGCTACAAACGCATACAGGGGAACAAAATAATGAATCTATTCCAATATTTTAGAATCGTTATTGTCACTTCATTCGACGAGTTGGAAAATATCACATTAGTTACTTGGTAGGCTTAAAAATAAATAAAAGACGGACATCTATATAGAGTCAGGTAATAAGTATTTGGACAGTGAGGCATTTTTTTTTATATTTTGTCCACAATTAAGCATATTTATGCAACATAATGCCATATTAGTGACGAGAGGAGCAAAAGCTTCAGGAGTGGTCAAATCAACAATCTGCTTTTCTAAAAAGACAGAATAAAGTGGCCAAGTTGGCAACACCCAAAGGTCTGAAGAAAAAAAAAAACACACACACACAAAAATTACTAAAGTGGAGGATTACAGAATCTCTCCTGCTAAACTGAAGACAGGGAGACCACAACTGATGGTGGCTGCATTAAAGGCATAGCAAATGGTTGGTAACAAAGCTTCTCAAGGGAGAACAGTCATCATGGGAAGCCCCCAGCAGCCTAAGACCTATTGCAGCACAGCTATAAGGGGGGGTTAAAGTCAACTCCTTTAAAGGAAGCTTTTAAGCCTAATCTTAAAGTAGAGAGGCCGTCTGTCTCCTGAATCCTAAGTGGTAACTGGTTCCACAGAAGGAGGGACTGAGGAAAAGAGTTCCCATTCTACTTTTAATTATCAGAGAAACCACAAACCAGCAGTCTGAGAGCAAAGAGCTCTATTTGGGTGATATGGTACTATAAGGTGTTTAAGATAAGATGTGGCCTGATTATTCAAGACCTGTATGTGAGCAGAAGGATTTAGAATTGAATTCTGAATTTAACAGGGAGCCAGTAAAAAAATAAGCCAATGTGGGAGAAATCTGCTCTTTCTTTCTAGTCCCTGTCAGGACTCTTGCTTCATCATTTTTGGATTAACTGAAGGCTCTTCATTGAGTTTTTATGACAGCCTGATTATAACGAATTATAATAGTTCACCCAAGAAGTAACACATTCACGAACTAGTGTCTTCAGCATCACTCTTAGATGGATGTATTTACGTGCATGAAAGCTGGTGCAACAACGGGACAATTATAAACAGTCACTGCTCCCCGAACCTCGAGTACATGTCGGTAAGATGCCGGCCTTTCTTTCTACCGAGAGAGCTAACAGTAGTGATCATCACGGCTGTGTACATTCCACCCGATGCCAACGTAAACACGGCGCTCTCTATCCTGCTGAACACCATTAACGAACAGCAGCGGGCCCACCCGGACGGTGTTCACATAATTGCAGGTGACTTTAATAAGGCCAACATAAAGACTGTACTCCCAAAGTTCTATCAGCATGTCAAATGTCCCACCAGAGGAGAAAACGCTCTAGATCATATTTACTCCAACATCAAGCATGCATATAGAGCCATACCCCTCCCCCACCTCGGTCAGTCCGACCATCTCTCCCTCCTGCTCTCCCCAGCCTACACCCCCCTCAGGCGCAGTGCCAGGCCCACCACAAAGACTGTTACAACCTGGCCGGAAAATGCTCTCTCCAAACTACAGGACTGCTTCACAGAGACAGACTGGGACATATTTGAACACCAGGACCTAGAAACATTCACAGGATCAGCACTGGACTACATCAAGTTCTGTACTGCAAATGTGACAGTGGACAAAAGCATTCGGGTTTTCCCAAATCAAAAACCCTGGATGACCAGCGAGGTCCGCTCACTCCTCAAAGCCCGTGATGCCGCCTTCAGGTCAGGTGACAGAGCTCTGTACAGGGCTGCTCGAGTTGACCTGAAAAGGGGGATTAAAAAAGCCAAGTCAGACCATAAAAGGAACATCGAGTCCCACCTGTCCAGCAACAACACACGAGAGGTGTGGCAGGGAATGCAAGACATCATCAACCACAGAGGCAGTACTGCGAAAACATGTCTGTGAAGGTTCTCAGTCATCCAGGTCATCGTAGTCAAAGGAGCTTGCAAAGAAAAGCGTCTGGACTTCTTTAAGTTGCTTGAAGACGTTTCACCTCTCATCCGAGAAGCTTATTCAGTTCTAAGGTCAAATGGTGGAGAGTCCCAGATATAAACCTAGTGGGAGTGACCCCCCACAGAGGGACAAAAGGACCTCCTGATGATCCTCTAATCGCCTAAGCCAAGGTGGGAAACTGGGCGTGGGTCCCAATCAGCCAGAGTTTCGGGTGTGTTCATTGTGAAACCTCGCCCCACCTTATCATGCGAATTCCTGAGGTCAGATGGCCCAGGATGTGAGTGGGCGTTAAGGCGTCTGGGAAGGGATCTCAAAACTGGATTATGGCAGAGAGTTGGTGTCGTAAACCCCCGCCTCTGTTCAAAGATGGTCGCTCACAGTGGACATAGATGGCTTCTTTCACTCCTCTTTCAAACCATCTGTCCTCTCTGTCCAAAATGTGAACATTGGCATCCTCGAAAGAGTGTCCTTTATCCTTAAAATGCAGATGGACTGCTGAGTCTTGTCCTGTGGAGGTGGCTCTTCTGTGTTGTGCCATGCGCTTGTGAAGTGGCTGTTTGGTCTCTCCAATGTAGAGGTCTGAGCATTCCTCGCTGCACTGTACAGCATACACCACATTGTTAAGTTTGTGTTTTGGCGTTTTGTCTTTCGGGTGAACCAGTTTCTGTCTGAGCATGTTGCTGGGTCTGAAATACACTGGGATGTCATGCTTGGAGAAAACTCTCCTGAGTTTCTCTGATACACCGGCTACATAGGGGATGACAATGTTGTTGCGTCTGTCCTTCTTATCCTCCCTCCCACTGAAGAAGCTTCTCGGATGAGAGGTGAAACGTCTTCAAGCAACTTAAAGAAATCCAGACGCTTTTCTTTGCAAGCTCCTTTGACTACTGCGAAAACAGAAAACCCGAGTGGGCAGCTGGCAGAGGAAATAAACAGCTTCTTCGCCCACTTTGAAACACCACAACAGCAACACTCATCTGCTTCAGCCCTGCTCCCATCCTCATCCTCACCTGGTTCCTGCACCGCTCCACTCACTGTAACAGAGCACGATGTCAGACGTGTGCTCCTAGCAGTGAACCACAGGAAGGCGGCCGGTCCAGATCGAGTACCTGGCAAGGTACTAAGAGCATGCGCACACCAGCTCACCCTCATCTTCACCAGACTCTTCAACCTTTCACTGGATCAGGCAGCCATCCCATCCTGTCTAAAATCGGCCACAATCATCCCAGTGCCGAAGAAGTCTCCCATCTCCAGCCTGAATGATTACCGCCCTGTGGCCCTCACACCGGTAATCATGAAATGCTTTGAGAGACTAGTCCTTCAGCACATCAAGGATTACCTCCCCCCCAGAATTCGACCCCCACCAGTTTGCATACCGTGCAAACAGATCCACAGAAGACGCCATCGCCACAGCCCTCCACGCTGTGCTGAGTCACCTAGAGCAGCGGCAAAGCTACGTCCGAATGCTCTTTGTGGACTACAGCTCAGCCTTTAATACAATCATCCCGGACATCCTCATCACCAAACTGGTCACTCTTGGCCTCCCTCCTCTCACGTGTGCCTGGATAAAGGATTTCCTCACAAACCGGCCCCAGACTGTCAGACTCAGCCCTCATCTCTCCTCCACTCGCACACTGAGCACCGGCTCCCCACAGGGCTGTGTGCTGAGCCCCCTCCTCTATTCTCTCTACACCCACGACTGCAGTTCGACCCACAACAGCACTCTCATCGAGTTTGCTGATGACACCACGGTAGTTGGACTCATCTCGAAGGGAGACGAGGCAGAGTACAGAGAGGAAGTCCTGAAGCTGGCAGCATGGTGTTCAGAAAACAATCTGGCACTGAACACTAAGAAAACCAAAGAGCTCATTGTTGACTTCAGGAGACACAGCACCGACTTGGCCCCCCCCCTCTACATCAACGGGGAGTGTGTGGAGAGGGTCCACACTTTCCGGTTCCTTGGTGTCCTCATCTTTGCTGACATCTCCTGGACAGGAAACATCTCAGCGGTCATCAAGAAGGCCCAACAGCGGCTGCACTTCCTGAGAGTCCTCAGGAAGTACAAGCTGAACTCCAACCTGCTGCTGACCTTCTACCGCTCGTCCATTGAGAGCCTGCTAACCTACTGCATCACGGTATGGTACGGCAGCTGCACCAAAGCAGAGTGAGGCTTCAGAGTGTGGTCAAGACAGCACAAAAGATCATCGGCTGCCCTCTCCCCTCCCTGATGGACATTTATTCCTCCCGCTGCCTCAGCAGAGCAGCAAACATTATCAAGGACAGCTCCCACCCTGGCTTCAACATGTTCAGCCTGCTTCCCTCAGGGAAGTGCTACAGGTGCATCAACTATGTCCATATGTACATAGCGCTGCAGAACTGTACCCCCCCCCACCCCCCCACCCCCCCAGCATGTTTACACTGAGTAGGAGATGCTCTGTATCTCATTGCCTTTATTGTCACTATACAGTTGTACATTCTATTCTGTTTTAATTTTAGAGAATATTGCGCAACTTAAAGTAGTCCTACATATTTTTTTCAATATGGACATTGGAGGACAAATCCTGATCAAAATCACTCCAGGATTCCTCACAGTGTTACTGGAGGCCAAGGTAATGCCGTCCAGAGTAAGTATCTGGTTAGATAACATGTCTCTAAGATTTTTAGAGTTTTATCTGCAACAGGAAATTAGAGTTGATCCAGGTCTTTATGTCTTTACCACATACTGCAGTTTACGTCATTGTTGTGTCATCTTCACGGATCGATAACAGGATATTTAATGAACAGATGATCAATTCTGTGGACAGAATCGAGATCAGGATGTGGGAGCCAGAATTCTGGCTAGGTTGTAGGTCACTCAGTGAAATGCAACTCAATTTACATATTTAAGTAATGTGTGTTGGTTTTTTTTTTTTTTTTTTTTTTTTTTCTGGATTTTTGGTTGATACCGTTTCTCTCTAAATTGAAACTACCATAATAATTAGAAACTTGTGATTTATTTGTAAGTGAGCAAACTTACAAATTCAGCAGGGGATGAGATAATTATTTCCCCCACTGTAAACTTTAATGCAACCAGATGTGGGTTTTTTTTTTTTTTTTTTTTTTTTTTAACCGCAGGAGTCATTCCCTGCTGGCCTTCATAAAGGCGTAAGCTGCACATCCACCCACAGCAAAAGTGGAAAGATCACCAAAGAATTTGCATCAGTAGTATGAAGAGTCACTGATGGAGGTCATTGTGATTCCAGCTAGCTAGCGAGCTAACACTCTTATGTCCGATGTTAACGTCACAACGTTTCGTGGCATTATTTGGTGTTTATGCATGTTAAATTGTCTTTCCTGTAAGGAACAATCCCTGTTATTATAACCAACACTTCTAAACAATAGTTAGATTTTCTTTCTTTTTTTCTTTTTTTTCTTGTGAAATTTGGTTAAGCCAATCACAGAGGACCCTTCCCTGCACGATGAGAACAGTCTTCCTACAGGCTCTACTTTGGATTTGTAAACTTTATTTTAATGGAGTCTTTCTAGGGAATTACTAATTATTATTATAATAATAATAATAATAATAATAATAGATGTTGATGGAAAGGAGAACAAGACAAAGTCAGGACATTTATTTTGAAACTTCTGTTTGAGTCATCGCCACCACAAAGGCTGTTGTTTTCCTCTTTTCTGTTTTTTTAACGATTTTGTTCCCTTTTTACTAAATTGCAAATTTCTTCTTAACCGTTTGTTTGTTTTTAAACTTCAGATCCACACCGGTATGCAGCACCAGATCATCTGGCCCTGCCAGCCTTACTGCGTTCCTCTGGATGAGAAACTGCTGCCTCAGCTCATGAAGGAGGCGGGGTATGCCACACACATGGTCGGCAAGTGGCACCTGGGCATGTACATGAAGGACTGCCTGCCCACACGCCGTGGCTTTGACACGTACCTTGGTTTGTATAATGTGGAAGAAACACTTCACGGAGCACATTTTGCATGAATGCTACTCAGTAACAGCTCATGTGTTTATCTTTGTGTAAAATCATGCACATAGTAAGTGACGATTGCCTTAGTTACACGTCACCTTCATGATACATTTGAATCTTTTGCATTTGAACTAAAAATATTAGATCGTGTATTAAAAGCGAAGTTACCCAACAGTTAATGCAAGGTTTTTGTTCACCCCAATCATTAATGCTGACACCTTAGATGCTAAGGCCACATGCTAAAAACTGAAGAGGGCTTAGATGAAGATGTTTGACTTCACTGAAGAGGACACTGTTAAGTGAATAAATCCAGTTCTAAACATGCGGAGGACAAAAGCACCGTTTGGACTAGAGCATAGCGCCTTAAGGGAGGACTGTTCTTGCGAAGGTTTAGCCATCTTGTTTTTTGAACAATTTTGTTGACAAATCAACACGTATACCTCTGCTGAGGAAACTTTCCTAACCGCTTGCTGCATTGCTCGCTGTGTGTCATGCCAAAGTCTGCAGTTTCTTCACATGTGAAATGAGCTCCTCAGTAGCTGACCACAACTACAGCATTTTTATTGTAGCCTTTGTTTATCCCAGTAAGAGTCAAATTGAGAATTTAAGTCTTCTTGTTTTTTAAAGAGTGACATAAATTAAAAAAAACTGCGACTATTAAAAATGCTTCCCTATACTACTGGTCCAGAGGTCGAACAGTATTATAGACATTTTGCATTATTTTTAAATAACATTATGTATTTAATGATTTTTGTTTTTAATTTTTGAGCACATACAGTACTTTCCCATCTATATTTAAAGCCTAACAAAACTAGTGTCATTATTTATCTGGCATCTTGATCGTAGTCTCATAGATCACGTCCGTCTGTTCTCAAACTACTCAATATACACACACGTCTGAATGACACGTGCTATATAAACTGCCAGTACCAGAATTCTCATTATCTATGTGGTTTTTGGGAATCATTTCTGTCACATTCAGATCTTTACGAATGATAAAAATTCTGTGTCGTAGCAGACCTCAAAACAAACTGCGACATTACGTGTAAATTTTGCTAATAGTGTCTGTAATGGACAGTGAATATGTAGCTTACAGAGAAGAATAATAAATATGTAATAAATATTTAATATTCTTTGGTTTTTTTGCCATCTCACTATATAAAGTGATATAATGAACATATAAAGAATAACAGGATAAATTACCATGCATGACTGTGCTTTCAATGTTTTTAAAGCTGTTTTTAATGTATTGATTACCCGCTGTGTGCCACAGGTTACCTGACAGGTGGTGAGGATTACTTCACTCACTTCCGCTGTTATCAAAGCCGCTCGCTGAACCTGAGCCGCTGTGCGTTGGACCTTAGAGATGGGGAAGACGTCGCCACAGGATACGAAGGGGTCTATTCCACTGAGCTGCTGAGCCAGAGGGCCATCAGCATCATTGAGAGACACAACTCTCAAAAGGTGACACACAACATCTCATCACATACATTAACTGTGAAACTGCTGGCCTAACCAATTCGTAGAGTTAACCTTAGTTATCTTAATCATAATCCTAGATTTAACATGTATAGAAGGTTATCAGCTCAGACATCGGGGGGCATTTAACGTCTGTAATGACAACAGTGTGAATGTTCTGTCCCCGTTTCCCTCTATCTTTCAGCCACTCTTCATGTATGTGGCGCTGCAGGCGGTCCATGCACCCCTGCAGGTGCCAGAGCGCTACGTGACTCCCTACAGTTTTATCACAGACACCAATCGCAGGCTCTATGCCGGCATGGTGTCAGCTATGGATGAGGCGGTGGGCAACATCACCCTGGCTTTACAGAAAGTGGGACTCTGGAACAACACGGTCCTTGTGTTCTCAACTGGTATGAGTTTAATTATTAGTTGTTGTTGTTGTTTTTGGTTTTTTTAAACTGAGATGCTAGATAAACCACTATTTGTTCTACAGTTGATGTTGTTTTTATTTATTTATTTAGAAATTAATGCATTATATAGCTGAGCACTAATTAGAGCTGTGTCACAGTGCCGTCTATCTCTTCATGTAATCCCAAAATTGACTCCATGATGTTGAAATCAGTCTCCACGAGCTGAAAGAGATCTCAAATGTCCCAGATTTATTTATTTTAAGTTATCTTGGCTGACAGCTGTATTTCTGCAGATGCCCACTAGAGGGCGGTGTTTTGCCATGTTTGTTCAAACGTCACTGCCGGCTCATAGAAGTAAGGAAAACTTTTCTTAGCTCATGTCTTCGTGTAGAGCTCTACAGGCAACTCGCCGAGAAAAAGACAAAGGAAAAACATCTAATAAACCTTTGATGAAGAACGTAATGTGGCCAAGACGGGCCATAAACCACATCATTTAAACCTGTGCCTGCTCGCAGGTTTCCACACGTGGAACATCTAATGATTTGCATCTGAAGTAGGTAACTACGTTTGAGGGTTATTTTTAGGGGGTTTAGTGTTTTTAAAGGGTAATTAGAAGACAGGAACAATGCTGTGAAAGTAAAGTGTGAGCGTTTTTATGCCTGTGGTGGGCTACGGTAGGTGGCCTGTTTCATTGTTCCTTTACACATTTGGCTCGCTGTGATTCTGAGGATTGAGCCAACCATATGCTGGGCAGACACTGACTCTGCTGAGCTGAAGCAGTGGAAAAACTCAGAGTACTTCCTGCTTCTGTGTAAATGTGGTGCAGAGCTTATGTAATCTGTGATTTGACCAGATAAATGTTTAACTATAACTTACTGAAAGAAGGCTTATCAGTTGTTTGGTTAGTCACATTTCCAGCTCACACTTTGAATCCATCCTGGTCAAGCTGTTATCACTGACTAAGCTTAACAGGACAGAATTGGCAGAATTTGGTTTGGTTGGACTTTGAGTTTCCTTTATGATGACATTTTCTGTAAACTGACAGCCTCACTGGGAATTTACTGTAAGCAAATGAGCAACGAGGATGAAGGGACCTTTTGGGGGAGCTGGGAAAGACAGAGTTGGCCTGTAGAGAGGCGAAGCAGCTTGAAAAGACATTAAGAAGCAGACGGTCTCTTCCAAAAACCGTTCGGGAATCGACACAGACTACTTCCTGGACTTGGATGACACTTTGCCTGTGAAAGGGGAGCCTTGCCTGGATGTGACTGGTCAAGAGTATTTATACTGGATCGGCTTATTGGGATGATGACAGTCTAACCGCCTGTGTGTGCACTTGTGTAATGGTTGGATATTTTATAGGTGTATTTGTCAGACAGTGAGACAACATCGGCGTGTTGTTTTAATGTCTCAGCTGATCACTTGTTTTCAGCAATAGCAGCCCTGGGGAGTGCACTGACAGCTGCTTCATTGGTTGTTCAAACTGAAATCCTTCATCGCTTGGATGGATTGCTATTGAATTTTTACAGTCATATTACAGAGTACATGAATCCCTAATGACTTTAATGATGCTTTGACTTTAGCTCAGCACCACATGAAGTTTCCCAATAATTGCTGATCACTGGACTTTATGCAGTTTTATTAAAAAACAAAATTCATAGATTTGCAGTGAAATCTATAGAAGATTGTTCTTCACATGACTGTATGTCACACATCTGAAATTGACGACAACAACAAAATAAAACCCTGTGTAGCCCCCATAGCAAATTGGCACATTACATTGTGTCAGCTGTGAAACTTTGTAATGTTGCAGCTTGTTGATGCTGTTCATTTGCTATAAGGTTAAAGGCTACAGTTGCTGCTATAGTCACAGTTGACCTTATTGGCATTCAGTGATTCAGCTCACTTGAATTAGGTAACATAAAGTGGAAGGATATCAGCTGACTGGATAAAATGTTATCAGGTGATAGGAGTTTCCTGTTGCTTTTTTGCCTTAAAAAAAAAAAAGAAGAAAGAAAACAACTTTATGCATTTGCTTAAAAAGTATTTGACTCATCAAAACCTGAGCACATATCGCATAGATGGGTTTTCCACCTTTAAATTCATTTTCATGGTTTCCCACATGTCTGCTGGAAATATAAAATGTTTGGCTGATGTACAATCAACATTCAGAAACCGAATTTCCACAGAGTGACATTGGAACCTGAACATATATGAAATCCAGACTCTGGGAAATTTTGAACATTGTTTCAGTATCTACAAATGATCTTCATACCTTTTGCCCCTGTGGTTGTTTCAGATAATGGAGGTCAAACGCTGTCTGGTGGCAGCAACTGGCCTCTGCGAGGGAGAAAGTGGTCACTATGGGAAGGAGGAGTCCGAGGCGTTGGATTTGTTGCCAGCCCGTTACTGAAACAGCCGGGTACCATGAACCGTGAGCTCATCCACATCTCCGACTGGCTGCCTACACTTGTCGGCCTGGCAGGAGGAAACGCCACAGGCACGAAGCCGCTGGATGGCTTCGATGTGTGGAACGCGATCAGGTGAGCTGGGCCGTTTTTTTTTTTTTTTTTTTTTTTTTTTTTTTTTTTTTTTACTGTCAAGATCTGTCACAGGACTTGAGGTGGAAGTTGGCTGTAGCCTGGAGGGTTTTTGTGAGTGATACCAGCTCTTAAGTTTGACAGCTTGCCCTCTCTTGGTGCCCCTTTCAGACCCTCCCCCACCCCCGCCCCATGCTCGCACTCTCCAGCTACCTCTGTTTTCTTCTCGTAGGAGCCCCTGCTTCTTCAATACGCCCTTTGTTGCTGTGGCATTGAGAGCTCAAAGAGAAGGAAATTGCATCAGTCATTCTCACACAAATCTGTAGTCCATCCATCCCTCTGTTCTGCCCCCCCCAGCTTCGCTTCAGACTAAAGATTAAGCTGTCCTCCTGTTAGATCAGCTAATTTGTTTTGCTGCAAATCCTTTTATGTCAGGACATGCCTGAGATGATGCAATTTTGTTAAATGTAATATATTCAATTAAACGTCTGGATGACCTCTTGTGTTTTGGAGAACTTTGCAAAGAAGCTATTAGTAAATCGATAAGTCACACGGAGCAGCTTGCAGACCACAGATGTGCTTTCCATGTGAGGCGAGCTGTCACTGTGTCCCATTTGACTGACGCATTATATTTGTAAACTAAATGCGGACACAGTGAAAGAGGTGAAATTGAGGGCTACAGCAGAGCCCCGGCAGAAAATCGAGGCTTAGCCAGGACCGCAAACTACTACTCGCAGCCTCCACTTGACTCGATTGGCCGTTGCGTGTCAGCTGACCACCAGCTGCTGGCACGGCCGTGTGAGCAGCACTACAGAGCACAAAACGCTGCTTTCATTGTGTTTTAATTGGACGTCCCAGTTGCAGAAAACAGCAGCCCCGACAGCACGGCCTGGGAAGGGTAAACCAAACGAAGGCCCAGAACAGGGAAGCACCCAGTGAGAGAGTGAGACTTATTTCAGTTGTGTTATCAGTCAGTGTGGTCAGAGAAAGTGGTGCGTTTTCTCTGTGGTGGAGTGCGGTCAGCGCATATGACCGCCTGGTGAGCAACAGCCAGCTGCTTCAGATTTACAGATCCCGGTGGGTTTCACAGCACATGAGTCAGCGTGGTGTGTTGGTTGTGTGTTCTCTTATTGAAGTGCAACACTGCTTTTATCTTACAGCAAAGGGTTTGCCTCACCCAGACTGGAGCTGCTGCACAACATCGACCCTCTGTATTATGACATTGCTCCATGTAAGTTCACATTTCTTTTTTCCACTTTAACATTATTGGAAATCTTTTTTTCAGTATGTCTGAAAATTTTCTCAATTAATTCAAACTGCTGATTTCACAGAATGTCCATTGTTAAAGTCAATTATGCCTTTCCCTAAAGGTTGAGTGAGTATTTTTTTTTTAAGGTTATTTAATAGAAAATTATACTGGAAATATGGATTGATTTGTGTGTAATAATGTCTTCAACCATCTGATACATTGTCATGAACTTAGAAGGAATCCATTGAAAATACATGAGTGGGCATTGCTTTGGGGAAGCTGCTAAACAGCTACATGTATGATGTCATAAATATCAGATAGCCCTGATATGATCAACTTGGAAACACTGTTTCGACTGTGAGCACAGAAGCTCCACCTACCTGTTGTTTATTAAAGCTTTTGTTTATGAGGGTGCAGCTAATCACAATAGTGCTGGTTTAAAGGACTGGTGGGATGACCCCACTGGTGGGAAATGACCCCAAGAAGAAAATCTTCAGTGAAGCTAAATTGAATGTATATGATTCATTTTAAAAAAAAAAAAAATAGAAAGTATAAACTGACCATCACTGCTTATTCAGTTCGGTGTCTCCAGGTAGGTGGAGTCTATCCCAGCTGTCATAGCGTGAGGTCAGGGTACACCCTGGACTGGTCGCCAGTCCATCAAAGGGCTAACACATCGTATAATTGTGTCTTTGGGCTGTGGGAGAGAATACCCTGAGACAGGCAAGCCCCGCAGAGAAAGGTCCCAGCTGACCAGTGGATGTGACTATTTTGAGCTTTTAATTATTCAAAACTATTTTGGTAGAGCTAATGAAAAAAGATACAGATCTAGAAATGGGTGGCACGGTGGTTAGCACTGTTGCCGCACAGCAAGAAGGTCCTGAGTTCAATTCCACCATCAGGCCGGGGTCTTTCTGTGTGGAGTTTGCATGTTCTCCCCGTGTTTGCGTGGGTTCTCTCCGGGTACTCCGGCTTCCTCCCACCGTCCAAAGACATGCAGCTTGTGGGGATAGGTTAATTGATTAATCCAAATTGCCACTAGGTGTGAATGTGCGTGTGAATGGTTGTCTGTCCCTATGTGTTAGCCCTGCGACAGACTGGCGACCTGTCCAGGGTGTACCCTGCCTTTTGCCCTATGACAGCTGGGATAGGCTCCAGCGCCCCCCGCGACCCTGAAAAGGATAAGCGGAAGCGAATGGATGGATGGATCTAGAAATGAGTTTCCAAAGATCCATGTAACTCTTTATAATACAATAATTATGTTAAATTATTTTCTTTTCTGCACAGTGCAGATAATTAAAACATTATGCAGATTAGTTACATTCACTTGCATTAAAAAAAAAAAAAAAAAAAAAATAGTAATTAAGAGAAGTGATGGGCCCTGTGACGAACTGGTGACAGGTCTGGTGCTACCCAACCTCTTGCCCTATAACAGCTAGAGTATAGGTTGCTCGCCAGCGACCCTGAATTGAATAAGCAGTAAAGAACGATGGAGGGCTGACCTGTTATTGCAATAAATGTGACAGGTAATCATGATATGGATTTTAGCTGTTCTTAAGCGGCGCTGCTGTAAATCAGTCTGCTCGTCCTGTGCAGGGTCATGGGTGTCTGGAGTGTACTCACATTGGGTCAAAGGTGGACTGCAGGCTGCCTGGCAGATCATCTGTTTATCACACACTGCAGGCAGTTTAGTGTCACGGCTAAGCCTAACCTGCATGCTTGTGTACTGAGGATGAAACTCACACAGGCAAGCTTAAACACTCTTAGTCATAATTCACATGCCAGTGAAGGTTTAAGATGATGAAAACCTCATGCACTGACCTCCTCCTCCTCTGTGTGCTTGCAGTGTAGGATATGTTCTCCTTTTCTTACTAACAATGTAATTCTGCTGTGTTTTCTCATTAAGCCTGTATGAAAGGATCATTGTTTGAGCTTAGACCTTAGAATAGAGTCTTATATAACATTTGAATAAAGCAAAAAGAGTGTTTGAAATTGTTAGGTTTGTAAAGAGTGTTTGGAATCTTAGTTAAAATTCTCTGGATTCAGCTCATTTTATCAGATTTTTTTTCCCCTCACTGTTTCGTATATAACAGATATTTTGTTTTCTTCTGAGGAATGCTGATAACATGGGGGTGAAACTCTAATCATTCACTGTTGACACTGTAATCAGTCGCCAGGGAGGAAATCTGAGAAAGCTGATGTTAGAGGGCAGGGCGGGTGTTCGCTCTTTAACCTCTGATTGTAGGGAGGTTTTACAGGAAATCTGCTATGGGACTGCTTTTTTGGACTCATCCTTGTCTAAACCACTTAATATTTAGTGGACCAAACCGCTTCCATCTCTGGGGAGGTAGCAGGGCAGTTATCTGGGGCCGTGCTTTCTGACTTTTGGGGCGGATACTACACCTCAGTTACACATTTAAAAATAGTAAAGGTCCAAGGGGACTGAAATGGTAAAAAAAAAATCCTGCTTATATAGCACCTTTTTAACCTTGGTGGTTTTTCCAAAATGGTCTAAAGTGTTTCTCCTACAGCATTTTTAAAGCAGCAGAGACCTACAAGGTGCCGTCCTGCCATAGGGAGCTACTTTTGGTTTAGTTTCTTGCCCAAGGACACGCAGACGTGTGGAGGAACTGCAACCTGAGCCACCAACCTTGCTATTAGTGGACAGCACACTCTACCAACTGAGCCTTGGTTGCTCTCTGTTTCTTTTTTTTGCAAACTTTTTTGGGACTGAAAAGCTTCACAGATGTATCAGACAGATATTAATATGTTGATCAAACATATGTGAAACAAACAGTAGTCTTATGTATTAGGGGCTTTTCAAAATATTATCTGGATTTCTTTAAACAGCAGTCCTTTAGAGTTTGTACAAGTCACGCTCCTTCCCGAGTCCATATTCAACAATGAACGTCAGCCTGCTTTAATATGAGATTTTCAGTGTTCGACGTCAATCCGTATTTCAAGTCAGCTAAGCACTGCACAGATCTGGGCTTAATTTCAGGTTTAAGGGCAACTTTTGGTGTTCACTGGTGGGGGGGAATGTTCACTTATCTACATTAGCGACTCTCTAGTGGGTGGGTTGGACCAGGCCTCAATGCTCACCAGTGAGTCCCTGTTTGTTCCGTTCTCTGTCAAGATGATGCAAGTGCGGAAATAATGTTGAGTTACGGGCCCCGGGGAGGCCAATCCATGATGTGTGTGTGTGCATGTGTATTTCCAGGTATGCTTTTACTGTATTGCCAGTTTATCTGCTATCAATGTCACGCTGAAAAGAAGCCATTGTGAATCAGGTACTTTGGAGATGGTATTGCACAATGGATGAAAATCTGACGGTACTTTTCTTCGTTCGAAAGTCCTTCATTTTTCTTCCTAAAAACCACTGAATGAAATGCAGCCCAAAACCATGAAAGAGCCTCAACCATGTGTTACAGATGAGCATATAAACTCACGGGCCTCTACTGTCGACGACTGAAATTAGAATTCATGATCCCATAAGACCCGTTGGCACTGATTTTCAGTCCACTTCTTGTGTGTTTGGCATCCACAGTCTTCTCTCTCTGCTTGCCTTCCTTAAGAATGGCTTTTTGACAACCATCTTTCCATAGAGACCATTTCTGATAAGGCTTCAGTGAACAGTAGATGGGTAAATTGATGACAGATGCTTTGCTCTGGTCCTGTGTTAGGTATCTGTGTTTTTTTTTTTGTTTCTTAAAACTGTGTACAGCAGATGAACAATATCTGAAAGTCATGTCCATAAAGCCTGATTCTTATAATTTTGTCCTACTTGTCTTTTCCTCAAATTGTTTTAAAGGAACACTGCACACCATGGCAGGTTTGGCAGGTTTTTGTCAGTTAATGCCTGTCAAACTGTTTGATCTTTGGCATTTTTCTTAGATTCAACTTAAGTAGTGAAAGCAAACTGTTTTTGTGACAGGCTGACAGTAACACAGTGCTGAAAGAGCCAATTAAAAATTGGTTCTTTGCTAAGTTGTCTGTTGCATGTTCATACAATACTGATTTATTCCTCGAGTTAGAGGTCTTTTTCATCCTTGACTGATGGGTCGGTGTTAGGTATGCAGGTTAGGCTTAGACGTGACACTAAACCGCCTGCAGTGTGTTTCTAAAATGGCAGTGTACAGGATTAGACTGAAAATGAGTTAAAAAGCAGACCGTGTCCCAAGAAAACATCTAAGAGTTTGGAGAACTTTTGCTCAAGATAACTATCAAGGACCAAATTAGGTCCTTGGAAGCCAGATATAAAGGATGGCTCAGGACTTTTACAAAGTACAGTATGTTCTGTCTTTAATGATGTGTAGTAGACATCAAAAATGAGGAACAAAACAATATTAGCATCCATCAGCAGTTCTTTAGGGGCAACCGTGGGCTCAGATTAACTGGTTGCTGATGTCTTTGGTGGGCTGTTTATTGCTGAGCAGGGAGTATACTTTGAGTTTATCAGGGCCTCTTGTACTGAACTAGAGTAACAAAAGTTTAAAGTTGCTGATTGTCAAACCAAAACAAGCTTAAAGACACAAAAACAATCATTGAAAAAATGTAATGTGAAAGCTGTAATAGTTGGTTGCACCAAGCTGAGAGGAAGAAAACCAAATACAAATATTGGTAAATGAAGCTTTAACTTAATAAAATCCCTCATTCGCAAACCTGTTTAAACGAATAATTCCAGAAAATCCAAACAGTGATTTATTGTCTGTTTTGAAACAGGCTGTTTGTACAGCTTCAGCCAGTGTTGCTCAAATTACCCTCAAAGTTTACTGGTGGTCATTAACATTTAAATCATTGGCTTGATAAGGAAAGCACTGCTTTACAAGCTTTCAACCTCATGTTTTATGTTTGAAAGTTTATTGTCGGCCACCGCTTTGACACCCACCCTCCCTTCCAGGCTGAAATTCTTCTCTTTTTTTCCCCTTTTTCTTCTTTCCTATTATAACCCAGCCCCTCTTTGAGACCTCCCTCTCCTTTCTCCTTCTCCTCTTCTCTCCTTTTCCTTCTCCTCTTCATGCTTTTTTTTTCTTCACTCCTTTCAAGTCTCTTTTTCAAAATCTTCTTTGCTGTCGCTTTGTGAGTAAAAGGATTGTGGCTAAATGGGCCACAGAGGGGTCCCTGAACTTCTCACTTGCTGAGAGAACGATTCCTGGACTTCACCCAAGCCTTAAATCACTCCTCAGCTCTCCCTCTAGAAACTTCTCTTGCTCACTTGGGGTCTCTTCCCACTGTTCCTCCCTCCCTCCCTTCCTCCTGTTTGTATGTCATCCTGCTGTGGATCCAGATGAGTGCAGCCTCCTTTGTCCTGCAAAGAATGAATGTAAGAAATGGACATGTGTACACTGCGGGCAATCTGTTGGGGTTTGAGGTTTCAGTCCCTTTTTAAGAATAGAAGAAGCTCGTGCGCAGCATAATTAATCAAGCCTGTCAATCATTAATCACCTGCTTACATAACTGTGTTCACACCTGAATCTGAACACCCCATTCTTACGCAACCATGTGAGCGATGCTGATCTGAGATGAGCTGAGCCAAGTCAAGTCAACTTTATTTGTCAATTCTGCCACATGTACAGGACATACACAGAATAGAAATTGCGTTACTCTCAAACCCTAGTGATTAGAAAAATGCAAATAAAATAATTAAAAAGTAAAAATTTAAATAAATACAATACAATTTTACGTATAACAAAAAAAAGCTATGCAATATACAATATTCAAGTAAGAAGGCATAGTGGTGCAAAATAGGCAAATAGTGCAAATGGGGATTTAGTAGTGAGCAGCTTAGCTCTGCATTTGGAAGTGTTTGAGATACCCACACGTCATTCGCACAACGATCAGCAAAGAATTCATTGTCGAAGCTTTTATCATGTGGTCGCAAAAAAGCTGAGATCGGAAATGTTTTAATTCCCTCACTCATGTTGCTGCGGCGGGATCGGCTCTATTAAACAAGCCCCGATGGGGAACTTTGGCTTTGTGTGGGTGCGGATTTCTCTTTATGTGAAGAATGTTGAGGACATGCTTGTTTTTGACAGCGTTAGGAGGCTGAAATGACTTGCTTGTACTTGACTGTCTAACCAGGACCATATTGTTGGGGTCAACAGCGGTATGAACCTGAGAAGGCCAGATCTCCTGTGTTTGAAGGTGCGGAGATGTGTACTCACTCCTGGGAGACATTTTCCATAAGGGTTAGAAATACAGTGTTGGGCAAGTTACTTTGAAAGGGTAATTGATTATAGTTACTAGTTATTACTTCAAAAAAAGTAACTGAGTTACAAGATTCTAAAAGTAATTAATTACTTGAAAAGTAACTATTGCGTTACTTTAAAAAAAAAAAAAATGTTTACCCCTCTGGGCTCCAGGGTATAATTGGCTATTTTTGACTACTTTTGATGTGTCCTCTACATTTCACCTTTAAAAACTATTTACTTTGTCTTGTTTGGTATCATTGTTTTCAGCACAACCTCACGTGCCTGAATTTACAGTTATGTTTTCATTTTGGCATACTGTATTAACACAATTGATCTAAAATCGGACAAAAAACGTAAAATCAGAGTAGAAAAAGTTGTTTTTAATGTAACATCCACAAACATGTTTATTGAATCATATTTCATAACTTTAAATGCAAATATAAATTGTCAATTTTAAAATCATATGCACAAGTTTTGCAAACAAAGTTATTTGCAGCCATTTACCTTTTACCCCCCTTTTTTTTTTTTTTTTTTTTTTTTTTTTTAAATAACCATTTCAAACTACTTACAGAACAATCAGCTGTTCTGCATTCAATAAGATGCCGCACAGATTATTTGTGCCACTACAAAAAAATAATTTCTGTCCACTATAAAGGAGAACATCACAGCCTGATACCTGGAGACAGCAGTCACCTCCATTATTCTGACACACAACACAAAACTATCCACAACACTACACACTCCAAACACGCTAAACGTCACAAATCTCTCTCTCATTGTTTTGCCCCTTTAGCTCCAGGTGTTGTGCCAAAAAGTGATCGTCTACCAGAAAGTGATTGCCGTCCGCGGGAGCGCGCGCAGCTGTTTAAAGCTGTAGCGCCCGGATTACTTACAGCTACTTCCGTGTAACTGATATAAGGTGCAGTAAGCTGAACACAGCTTCAACCGTCTGTTTGTTGAAAAATAGTAACGCGACCGCATTTTCTTGTTAGTAACCGTAACGGCGTTGAAACGATAGGAATAGTAATTAGTTTAACCCGTTACTGAAAAAAGTAACACCATTAGTAACGCCGTTACTTGTAACGCCGTTATTCCCATCACTGGAAGTTGCAGATATTTCTACACCATCAAAAGGAAGATCAGTTATTTACTTTGGCCCTATGAAACTGATAAAAGTGTGCTCATTGGTAACTGCGACCCTTGTTTCTGTCTTTGTGTCTGCACAACTGCACTAACAGCACATTATTCATTATATTTGGCAAACATGGAGGAATGGTGCTGAGTCGACCACATTACCACCGTATCTGTCAAATTCCTCCAGGCCCAAAGTTCTGTGTTTGCAGAAATGTATACATTTAAAAAAACAACTTTTGTTCTCGAACAGGAGGGATTTTCATGGGGTTTGTTTATTTAAACTGTTCTATTTCACTGCAGATTTTGCAGCACAAGAGTCTGTTATTAGTACATTTATTTTCACACCCTTCACCTGATGCCAACTGTGATTGTCAAGTATGCTGATGCCAGTCCACCTTCTCATTTGGTTTCCGATCCACAGAAGGCGCTTTGTATCCAGGGGTGGACTAATATCATCTTAATCAGCGAACTGTAGTTTTTAAGATGGATGGTTTCTTTGAATCAGCTCTGTCCTCTGTCTACAGGTCCTGGCAGGCAGCGCGAGTTAACTTTGGCTCAGGTGGCCAACTCCGGCTTCAATGTGTCCATTCACGCAGCCATTCGATCTTCAAAGTGGAAGCTACTGACTGGGTACCCAGGTCAGTATCTTCTGTCACTTCTAATGTCATATTTAGTCTAAGTGGGACGTAGAATATGAAACACAGTAATGCACAGGAAGACATTCATTTCTTATCTTTATTTTTTTTAAAAAAGAAAAAAGAACTTGATACAATCAAACACTCCATCCCAAGTAAAAGTCCAACGTCATAAAGTAGCAATACATGAAGTAAAGTTTGGTAGTAGCAAATATTTGAATATATCTTATGTAAAACGGTAAAGTTGTTGTTGTCAGAGCTGACAGCATGTCCTCATTGTGCAGGAGGAAAATAGTTCTCTCTTCCTTCATTTTTGAGACCCAGAGACCATCTTTTATCTTCAGTCTGTGGTCTGGTCAATGAGCCAAAGTGCCATTAGCCGTGGCCCTGCCCACTGGGTACCACTTGGCCCATTACATTGTGATCACACTGTGGAAAATGTATATTTATATGGGGGGGGGGGTAAAAATGTATTCTGGGTCTTGGAGGATTTATTTATTTAGTTAGTTTTTAAATTATTGTTCTAATACCAATACTAAGTGATCGATCTAACCAGTAAGAAGCAAGTTGCCTTATGGCTCAGTCATACTAGAGTAAAAAGATGGCAGCCTTGTTGCCACTAGGAAAAGCAGTGATTGCCTGGTCATTTTTATTTATTTAAATTATTATTCTTTTTTTTTTTTTTTTTTTTTCTGTCTGATCTTAAGTGGACCAGACCAGTGAAACTCCCCTTTCTGTCAGTAAAGAAGTTTAACTACACATTTAATCCCTGAGATATTCTAATATAAGAAAAGTGCAATTTTAGCAGTGCGTCTCAGTTTTTGCACATGATAAAATTCATCTATAATAAGTAGGGCAGGAAAAAAGAACAAGCTGAACAGAAAATGCAGATGGGGTTTTCTTCCCTTCTTAACAATACTGCTAATGTCCTTTTTGTTATCCCCAGGATGTGACGTTTGGTTCCCCCGACCTGACGGCAACACCTCCGACTCAAGCTCCTCTGAGGTAGATCAGCTGAAGCCGGTCATGCTGTTTAACATTGAAAAGGATCCAGAAGAGAGAAATGAGGTGTCTGCTCAGTTCCCCAAGGTAGTCGAGCATCTCCTCTGTAGACTAGAGCACCACCAAAAAAGTGCTCAGCCCATAAACTTTCCTGACGATGACCCTAGATGTGACCCAGGCCCCACTGGAGCCTGGGGGCCCTGGGCTTAGGCGGATATTACCGATATTGTAGTGTTTTGTTTACTGTGAATTACAACAGTAGGAATTTTCCTTTGTGGGGAAAGGTGAAGTTTTACAACAATTTTTGTTTGTTTTTAAAAGAGAACAGCCAATACCAAAGAATTCAGAAAGTCATTAACAGCAGCACCTTTACTCTGCCTTACATAAATCTGGTTACAGCGGATTAGTTTAAATGAATCAACACCGCTAATTGTCCCATAAAAGCAAAGGCTGAGGAGGGTGGATGGCAGCAATCTTTCACTCCAGACACTTTAATTCATTTGGAAGCCTAATGTTTAGCCCCAACCATCCTTGCTGGAAAACTCAAAAACCAGTTTTATTTGTTATCTATCATCCACCTGGGCCTTACTCAGAGATTCTTATCTGCTCTCTCAGACGTTTTATCTTAGGCTGTATCAGGTTAGGGCTGGATCAAGTGACCCTGAATCCTCTCTTAGTTACTCTGCAACAGGTCTAGGCTGCTGGGGGCCCCTGATGGACTGAGTGTTTCTTTTTCACTCACTGTGTGTTTATAAATCACTAGTTATTATTAATCTGTCTATCTTCACCAGTGAATCTTCGTCAGATCACGACCGGTTGAGGTATATAAGTGCATAGTGTTGTCTCTGAGGGGAGCTACACTATACATTTGCATGTCTAGAATCTGAGCAGGAGAAACTAATTTCTTTCATATACGCATCCTCTTTGACCTTTGACCCCTAGGTGTTTGACCTTCCACTGAAAGCAGCATGCAGACTAGAGCAGGAAATGCTTCCTGCTGAGAGCAGGCGGCCGCTGTCCGAATGTGGGCCGCGACCCTTAACCTGCCCTGCATGTTGATTGACAGCTGAGCACAACAAACAACAATACTGCTGCTACAGAAAAACAGAGCCGTAGACCTATTTGTCATTAAGGAGTCAATGATGCTCGTGTTTTGTTTGTCACATTTCCCAGACTTGTCACTATAGAAACCAAAGCTGCAATGCTGTTTGCTCTCAGCTCCTTGCTCCATGTGACGTTTAACATATATCTTGCACTGTTACCCACTCAAATCTGTCCTTTAAATGTGAAGGATATGCCAATACGTTTATGCAAAGTTGTGAGGGTTTGAACTCGTGTTTCAGTTTAAATGGTTTGTTTTGAAATGTTCTTTTGTTACGCTAAAAGCAAATCAGTGGATTGATTTTTGTTTTGTAATTTAACATAAGGAAATGGATACCTTGGCTTCCTTAATTTATAATTATTAATATTTGTTCCATAAATACCAGCACCACAAAAAGTCTGTATGAAGTATATTATCTTTATTAACATGTTTCCAAATCCTGGTCGGTGTGCCTAAATATGTGACATCACTTTTTTGTAAGTAAAAAGTACTTGGAATAAAAGAGTATAGTGTTTTGAGATTAATCTTTTACTGTGTTGCACAGTATAAAGCTGATTGAGAGTAAAGTATATTTTAAAACACTGTAAATCTCTTTTCTATCTGTTTTAATACACTCAGTTTACTTCAATATCATCTCTTTAAAGCACAAAACTGATCATAATTCAAAAGTGTTACATTGACTTTCTCAGCGTCTTCACTTGTCTGTGGTCCAAAGTAAGTCCTACTTAGTTAAACTGAATTTTGATGCTTAATTGATGAGTGGCCTTTGAGATTTTTTTTAGGGCAAATTTCACTAAATTATTTATTAAATAACAGTCAGCCCAGATGGCATGCCCATGTCCACTGCCAATTTCTTACTTAAATTTTTAAAACCTACTCTACATTTTTGTTTTCTAAGTTATTTATTTGGTGTCTAAGTCTGTCATGGTACCACATGCTAAAGTAAAATGGCATTTGTGGCAGTTAAATGGAGTTCAAACTGGGATTTTGGTAACAGCAAATACCATAGTACCACATGATTATTTTATGTTTCTGAGAAAGTGCTTCTTACTTTGCTGAGGCTGTAAATTTGTCACTTTGTCAGTTTACTCTACAATCAAAACTCTGCGTTTCAGTATGATGGGATAGTCTATTTAATTAGACGTTACTAGTGTTTGCAATTCATGTAAAACCAGGGCCTGTAAGTTTCTCAGCTCGACTGCAGACCACTTTTGCACTTCTCATGCCCCGTTTGTGGTGAAGTGCCCCTCCTGACAGGCTGCTCAGTCTTCCCCTACGTGTCATTATGATCAGGGTGCCCCTGCGGTGTCACAGCTCGTCTCCTCCTCATAGTTTTCAAAGTGGTTTTGGTGTGTCTTTCGCACTTAATTCTGCACTTTGACTCAACACCGTGAGTGTCGAGCACAGTCTTCAGCTCTGATGTGCCTCCGCTGTATCAACACTGCGATTCGCTGACTCTGATGTCACCCCACGTTGTTGTTTTTTCAGCTGCAATGACAAAGCTATGTGTGGCTCCAGAGAGATGCCCCTGAAAGATATGACAGGGTAAAGATATGATATCCCAGTGTTGGGCTCAGATGTTTTTCCAGTGAGCACATGTGGGATGCATACAAAAAAGCAGGCTGCCACCCTTGATTCCTTTCTGGTATGTTCACAAGATGAGACTGAAGGTCTCACAGTCAAGTGGGACGAGAATTCCAAACAAGATTGTCTGTCTGTGCCGCCAGCCTGTGAAAACAGATTAAAATCATACTGACCAGTGCAGTCAGGAATGTGTTGAACCTTGAGCCTCGAAGAGGGGAAACCCAACGGCTTATCGCACCTAATTAAAAACGGCTATGTAGATATTTTGTACCGTATGTTGTTGAGGGTCACAAAGGTGTTTGTGTAGGATATCGATGAAATTTTAAAAACTTTACATAAATAAAATGATCACATTACATCAGCAAACAGTGGACTTTGAAAAACATCACACTTAATGTAATTTATATACACATTAACAGCTCTGTTGGGCTTTACCTAGCATTAGCACTGGGGCGCTCTCAGCTAAATGCTAACACATTGCTTTAACAAGCTAACATTTGCTCATTAGCTTCCTGCCAATGAACTTTTGGGACCACAGTCTTGTTTTTATTTTTATTTTTTAAAGCTATCGGTTTACTTTTATTATGTGGCTTAAGATGGTTTTGTATTGTTCTGGTTTTATTGTATCTTTTCCTACCTCGGTCAACGAAATTTACTGACATTCAAAGAAAAACTTGCGCATTAACCCTCTGTAGGACCTACAGCCATTTTTCATCCACAGCGTTTTTTAATATTAGGCCATTTTCACTGTGTTGAATAGAATATAGCCAAACCTTCCAACCCTTTTTTTTTTTCTTTTAGAATTGCCGTCTCCGTTTTATTAGATTAGCTTAACCCTCTGATGCATGAATTATGAAAGCCTTGGTCAAGATTTTTTTCTTAAGTGCTTTTATTCTTCTCAGGACATGAAAAAAAATGTTCAACTCTTTTTTTCCCCAAAAATGTTTTTTTTTTTATAAAGTTATAAACTTGTCCACTCCAGTGGACTACATGCGCCTGAGCACTTAGCATGAAATACTGTGAATTTACTATAAAAATTAATTACCTTGTGTTCTATTGTAAATATACAAACACTTGTTTGCTTGTATCCTTTGAAAAACATCTCAGCAATTTTTTTGGAACTTTCAACTCATAAGGCCCCAATGTTTAGACGTAAATAACAAAACCAATCAACAGTCCTAGCTGTGAATCCTACACCTGAATATGGCAAACTATCTCCAACAAGAGAAACATTTTTGAGTCTACACAGTTCTATAACGATGCAGGACAGTATTACCAAGCCCTTAGTAGCATGCTGGAAGAAAACACAAACTGACATCTTAGTCTCTGCATCTCCAAACACTTCTGTGTTCATCACACCTAGGCTGTCCGTAGTTCCTATGTCTCTGTTCTGCTCTGGCAGCCACTCTCATCATCACTGGACTTATCACTGAACTCATCATCACTGCACTCATCAATGAAATCATCATCACTGGAGCTGGATGGAATTTCCTGGACTATTCTGTACGCTGCCTTATTCTTTGCTGCATTTGAAGTCTACAAAATATGATAAAATAATTATTATAGTAACTCAAACTACAGCTGATCTGCACAGAAATATACATTTTAAATGAGTAGCTTATAAATGTAACAATTATATGCTTACTTATAAACCAAAACAGTCCCAAAAAACAGTGAGACAATTTATGACTTATGTTAAAAAAATATAGTGGGTAATGCATGATGTCCACTACAGTGGACACATGGTTAATCGTAGTTTTCTACATATTAGACACAACAATTTCTTATTCCAAACAGATAATATCCTTCCCTAGATGTTACTGCATATCATCATATTTTTTTTTTACCTGTTGGGCTCTTTTAGCATAGGATTGACAGGATATGCCAACAGTGGTCGGCAGGGGTGACAGTTTGTCTGCCATCTTTGATTCAGAGGAAATTTACTTGCAGTTGCACTAACTGAACACTGAATTGACCTCAATGGAGCATGGCAGCAGAGAGCACTCTAGAGGCTAATATGCAGTTCCACCATAGAAACCAATGCATTAAAGAGATATGTACGTTTTAGTAGCTGTCCACTCCAGTGACCACTATGCATCAGAGGGTTAAAGTGGCTAAGCTACAAACCGCCATCCACATGAGGTCCTAGAGCCATAAATCGCCCCATTGAAACCCATTATAAACACTATTTTTCACTGCAGGATTTATACCGTTAACATCTGGGTGATGGCTTAGGTTTCGTTTTTGTTTTGAAGAAGAGGCCTTAGAATTGTAATTTTTTTTTTATTTGTCCACCGGGTGGCGCCCTTGCTCCACATTTGACCCGGGGCTGGAAAACAGCGGGCTGCTTAGACAGACCTGCGGGGAATGAAGCCTCATTTCCGGTGTGCAGCAGTGGCTTCGCCCGCTGATCGGGCGGGACCATTTTTTGGTCCCTAGGACCGTTAGAGGGTGCTTTTTTATTTTTATTTTTTTTTATTTTTAGTCAACAGGAAATGACGTATTTGTTGTCACGTGGTATCGTACGTGTGTGCTGGAAAAAGGAGTCCCCGGTGATCGTGCCCCGGTCATCGTCGCGACGTACCCCGGGAAGATGCACTTATTTCGGCCTAGAGGAGGAGCATTTGCCACCTGGAGACCATTTTCTGGTCCTGAAAAAAAATAAATAAAAGGCGATCGAAATGAATGTTGGTGCCAATCTTTAGTCCATCCAAAGGCCTAATTAAAAGTACAATAAAATATAACTTTCAAATGTATTTTATGGAAAATATTTAATTTTTTCATTTTTTTCGCCAAAAACGGCCGTGCGCTCATGTGACAAAACCGGGATATAGAGGGTTAAAATCCGCGAAATGTAATTAAAACTTGACATGAATATTTCAAGGAGAAGTAGGTCTAAAAGATTGGCTAATTTAAAGTGGAAAGAAATATTAATATATAATCTTTTTATAGCACTTTTTATGGCGTGGTCGATTTTTGGCTCTAGGACCTCATAAGGGGTACTTTTTTTTTTTTTTTTTTTTTTTTTAAAGACTTACCAAGGGTTAAAAGGACGCGATCTGTGAGAGATGCATCAGGTCACTGGGAGTGGTTTGACTGGAAAAAAGGGAGTGCTTATTCCAGATAAGTCTATTAGGAGAGATTACAAAGAGATGTTCCAAGGTTTTGTTTTTTTTTTTTTTGTTTGTTTGTTTGTTTTTTCAATACAACAGGGGTTGGTTATTTTGCAATGCCAAGGATGATACTCACAGGGGGACTGCTGGGGTCGTACGAGGGTGAACAGCCAGGTGAGTTGCTGAGGTGAGTATTTCAGAAGGAACTGGTCAGCTCGAGACAGGTAAGTAGTCCT